GTCGATCAAATCAATGGAAAACTCCGGAGAACTGCCACACTGGGATCTGAAGTATGTGTCTTCACTTTTGAACCAGGCACTGCAGCACTACAAGGATCGTCCAGACTTGTCAGCGACATATCATGAATGGACCACACACTTGTGTTCAGGCCTTCAAGAGTTTGCAAGTGAGTTGGAGTCGTCTCAGCCAGCTGTAGCCTTCATGTACATGGCGACTGTGGACCACTTCAGCCGCCACCTAAAAGGGTGCCCTTGTGAATATGAATATGCATTTGTAGAGGGAAAGAATACCTTAAATGCATCCTTGCGAAGCAGAGAAGGTTTACGAGAAGTACGGAATGCTCTTGATAAACAGAGATCTTGGTTCAACTTCACTTGGATCAGCAAAGGAAGTGACGCCAGCATCTTGGTTCGATCCGTGGAGACTTACCTGGAGTCGGGCTTCTCGAATTTGCGTCGAGAACTTGAAAGCTCTGATCTCGATCTTGTGGTGGCCTTCGAGAATTTTGAGCCTTTCAGGACGTAAGCCTAGGTTGGGATAAAGGGTGTGTTTTTCTTCTATCTTCTTCTTATGTTGTTATTATATATAGGGGTTGTTCTTTCTAAGAGGATGCAAGCGGAATTTAGATTTGGGTCCAGCAGATCCTTTTACTCCAAAGACAGTTTTCGAAACCATCAGTTTGTGCCCAATCAAGGTGGCTCAAGTTCTGGTATCTTCCTAGACCGTCCTAGAACCTAGAAGGCCCTTATCCTGGTTTTGCTAGCTAATTTTGCTGGTTCGTTACGAGTTTTGCGGGGATTGGAAAGAGTTGGAGCATTAAGTTTCTGAACAGACACATCACCTCATTAGGACCCGGAATATAGATGAAAAAGGATAAAAAGGCTTGTTCGTGGAGGTGCTGTCGGACACAGCCAAAAAAGGTGATAGTCAACCAACCAAATAAACATACTTTTTCCCACCTGCCAGGTGAGTGTCTTGAAGTTTTAACAAAACATCCCTGAGAGCTACGCGCGCACACACACATCCTGCCACACCCCCCTCACCATATCTCACCGTCTGGTAGTGGCCAACTTAGCTTGGCCGGCCCTGCTATGGCAAGCTTGCAAGCTCTCGATCTGGGGCCCACGGAACCTGAACAGTATGGCGAGCCAACACTATATGCCCAGAAAAGATGCAAGGAAAATGCCAAGTAATGTCAGACAGAATGTCAGATAGAATGCCAGATAAATGTCAGGGAATGTCAGGGAGAGTGCCAGAGATAAAATGTGAGAAGATATGTCACATAGAATATGAGTACGTGAGATAAAGTGTCTGAAAGTATGTCAAAACATATGTCAGGTAGAAGCGTAGAAGCCAGATAGACTGTCGAAACAGGTCGGATAACGCGTACGAATAAATGAGGGGAATGTCAGATAGTGCGTCAGAGCATGTGCCAGACAAGATGTCAGACAGAATGTCGGAATATGCCAGGTAAAGTGCAGGGTATGTTCCAGGGTGGGGATCACTTGAAGAAGGTAGTTTTGGCTTAATGACCTTCTTCCCCAAACAGTGTGCCCACACTGGGATTAGATCAGGGTTCGTGCTCTGGCCTCCCGCTTGGGCCGCGGCATTTTCTCCTGTAAATTCTTGCGTGAAATGGCTCTGGTCAGATGTCCATGTCCATTTCGATTGGGCAAGCTCGCGCGAAAGTCTGCGTCGTGATCTTGGGGCGCGGCATTTTTCCTGTAAATTCTCGCAAAAAAAGGCTTTGCTCCTGGAGACCGTGAAAATTCGTGCGCAAAATGGCTCTTGTCAGATGCCCATGCCCATTTCGGCTGCGCATGCGCGTACAAAGTGGTTGTCGCGCCCCTGGAATGCACCAGTTTTCCTGTAAATCCCCGCATAAAATAATAGCTCTTGTGAGATGCCCATGGCTGATTCAATGCCAAGCTTGCAGCTGAGGGAAATATGGCGATTTTTGAAACGGCATAAACAAGCTGGCGCTGTGCCCCGTGTCGATCTGCGGTTGCGCGATCGGATTTGTTGAATGCACAGCGTCGCCAGCTGACATGGCAACTTGTGTGCTCTAGATTCTTTACCCTGCGGAGACCTGTGGTTGTCTGAGGGCTTTCCAACCTTTGCGTGGCCCGGTTCCGTGTTTCTTTAGATTAGACTTGCTTGCGTTGCACACCTGTACAAAGGCTCACATGCTTGCTTCCTGGAAGAGTTCATTTGCAGGCATCGAGTCTTCAGCTGACAGGTCCGAGTCTTTCCTTTTGTATTTTTGTTCGTTACTAGTGAAAGGCTATCAGAGGCCTTTGCGTGATCTTGTGCAGGTCCTTGTGAGAAGCTCTTGAAGAGGTCTTGGTGAAATCCTCTCGGTGTCCTTGCATGATCTGGTGCAGGTCCTGGTGAGCAGATGTCGTGGAGATCCTGTTGAAATCCTCCTCAAGAGGTCAACGCATTAAGATCTTGAAAATCTTCTGCGTTGGTGCTTGTATGCAAGTTTTTCTGTTGAAAAAGGGGTTTGGGGGGCATCTGGAGGCTCTAGTCTGAGAAAGGCAGTGATAATAAGTGGGACGGTACGATGGCAGCCAGACCGCTGCACGTGCCCCAAAAAAACACTACAGTTCGAGTAATCCCCATCAACAGGCAAATTCGGACATAATCCGGCACTTTATTTGCCCGTCTATCTGACATATGATTTACAGTAATTACTCTGACTTTTTCTGACGCTGACAATGTATCTAGCATAGACGCTGTCATGCCACCTGACATGTACCGTGACATTTTTTATCTGGCATGCTTTTCTGACATTCTGACATGTGTTCTGGCAGCGTCTCTGAAAACTGATCGGGCATGAATTCTGACATATGTGTGCCCTTGATTTTGCAAACAGAAAAAAAATATATTTACACACCTTGCATTCTATCTGGCATACCTTTTTCAATTTTATCTGACAGTCTATCTGACATATTCTCTGGCATTTGACATTTTGCCTGGCATCTATTTTGGCATATATTCTGACATGCGATCTGGCCTTTTTCTGGCATGCCTTCTGACAATGTAGCTTGCAATATAATAATTTTCGGGTCCAGCGAAGCCTAGAAAGCTAGCGAGCTTGGCGAGGCCCAGAGAGTCCACGAGCTTGCTGTAGCGGAGCGACGGCAGAGTCGGCAGGCGCAGAGGAGGCGAGGAGGTGAGGAGAAAAGCTGAGATAAAATCTAGAGGACCCCTCCTGGAAGGTGGAAAGCAAGGCTCAGTGCGCGATTGCTCCAACAGGTGATTTGAAGGGATGGTTAGAAAAAATGAGTGAATGATTTGAAAGTTTTTTGTGCTATTCCATCCCCTTGCCATCATTGGCATCAAGCCTTCTTGAGCTTTGATTGCTTTTTTCATCGCCATTTTCTCGCCTGTCCCATGTCCTGCGCAGCTACTGCAGGATGGCAGCTGCAGAGCTTGAAAGCCACTTGCAACAGGACTTGCTCAAACAGGTCGGAATCCTAGATTGGTCTTAATTGGGTCCTTGTAAGCGTACACTAGACTGGAGGCCCATGTTGGTATGTTGTGGTTCCTTGCGCAAATTCACTGGATGGAGTGTGGCTGGTTTTCAAGAAGGTTGGGTTACTGTCCGCAGAGCACATATGTGCCAAGGTAACGAAGATTTCCGAAGACATGTGGATGCGCTCTTTTGCGGCTCTTGAGGATGTGGCTTCAGACATCCAAGGTGGGTGTTCCTCAGCTGCCATGCAAAGGCGCCTTCGCTGGGTCGCAGAGTTGGAACGCTATGTTTGGCATCGTGCCAGTGAGCATCAGAAAGGAACAGCGCTAGGCAAAAAGATTACCGACCTTGGAAAGCAGTTGCAAGATGCAATAGCTCAGTCTAAAGCACAGATCAGGCGTCACCGCAACGCCACCCCAGTGGATCTGAGGCAGCTCGAGACTGACTTGGGAGAAGCCCGTCGCTGTATCACAGGTGCAGTCCCTTGGTTTCTTGTTTTCGCTGAAGATGCACACTTGTGCGGGAGTCCGTGCTTGAGTTCCTTTGAGCAGATCCGTGATGAAATAGCAGAAAAGTTGGGAGCAGCATCGGAATCGATATTTTTGCCCAAATTGACTCGCATCGGCCTTTCTGCAAAGGACGCTTGTGACTGCAGGGCTTTCCGCGCCATCGAAAGCGAGAATCGAAGTGAGACTGCCAGAAGGTTTCTTTCCGGCGAAGCGATTGCAAAGCAGAACCTTGTCGAGGATCGCAAGACTTCGTCACTGAAGTACCTCTTATCAAACTGCCCACATCAATCCGAATCATCCGAGTGCAACCCCGCGGAGATGCACATTGGATTTGCATTTTCTGACATAGTGCATGAGATCTTCCGTGAACAGCAGGGAAAGCTCAGATTCGCTTTGGACCGCGATCTCTTTGATGATGTGCAAGCAATTTTCTCTGATGTGTCACAGTGGAGTGCCTTGCACCAGGTTGTCCGGCCAGAGTTGAAGGTTGCTGACTTGGAGCAACGGATGAAGGAGGGGCTGGTTGATTGAAAGAGAATAGGGTTCCATCCCCCCAAAAAAACGCACCCGAGAATCCACAGGAGGGTCATAGTCATAATTGTCGATTGAGACATGTAGGGGTGTATTACTTTTGCAGACACACCTATAGTGAGTGACTTCTAGAGCTCTACCAGTAGTACCGCACAAGGCGGTATCTATCTATCTCTCTATCTCTCTACCTATCTATCTATCTATCTGTCTATCTGTCTATCTGTCTATCTGTCTATCTATCTATCTGTCTACCAATCTATCTACCTATCAATCAATCAATCTATCTATCTATCCATCTATCTATCTATCTATCTATCTATCTATCTATCTATCTATCTAATCTATCTTTCTATCTAATCTATCTATCTAGTCTATCTAGTCTATCTAATCTATCTAATCTATCTATCTATCTATCTATCTATCTATCTATCTATCTATCTATCTATCTATCTATCTATCTATCTATCTATCTATCTATCTATCTATCTATCTATCTATCTATCTAATCTATCTTTCTATCTAATCTATCTATCTAGTCTATCTAGTCTATCTAGTCTATCTAGTCTATCTAGTCTATCTAATCTATCTAATCTATCTATCTATCTATCTATCTATCTATCTAATCTATCTTTCTATCTAATCTATCTATCTAGTCTATCTAGTCTATCTAATCTATCTAGTCTATCTATCTAATCTATCTAATTTATCTAGTCTATCTAATTTATCTAATCTATCTAATCTATCTAATTTATCTAATCTATCTAATCTATCTATCTTTCTATTCTATTCTATTCTATTCTAATCTAATCTAATCTAATCTAATCTAATCTATCTATCTATCTATCTAATCTATCTTTCTATGTAATCTATCTATCTAGTCTATCTAGTCTATCTAATCTATCTAATCTATCTAGTCTATCTAATTTATCTAATCTATCTAATCTATCTAATTTATCTAATCTATCTAATCTATCTATCTATCTATCTACCTATCTATCTATCTATCTGTCTATCTGTCTATCTGTCTATCTGTCTATCTATCTATCTGTCTACCAATCTATCTACCTATCAATCAATCAATCTATCTATCTATCCATCTATCTATCTACCTATCTATCTATCTGTCTATCTAGTCTATCTAATCTATCTAATCTATCTATCTATCTATCTATCTATCTCATCTATCTATCTATCTATCTACCTATCTATCTATCTATCTATCTGTCTGTCTATCTATCTATCTATCTGTCTAAGCGATCTAAGCGATCTAAGCGATCTAAGCTATCTATCCTATCTAATCTATCTAATCTATCTATCGATCTAATCGATCTAATCGATCACATCGATCTAATCTAATCGATCTAATCGATCTAATCGACCTAATCGATCTAAGCTATCTATCCTATCTAATCGATCTAATCGATCTAATCTATCTAATCTAATCTATCTAACATATCTAACCTATCTAATCTATCTAATCTATCTAATCTGTCTAATCTGTCTAATCCGTCTAATCTGTCTAATCTGTCTAATCTGTCTGATCTGTCTAATCTGTCTAATCTGTCTAATCTGTCTAATCTGTCTAATCGATCTAATCTGTCTAATCTGTCTAATCTGTCTAATCTGGCCAATCTGGCTAATCTACCTAACCTACCTAATCTACCAAATCTACCTAATTTACCTAATCTACCTAATCTACCTAATCTACCTAATCTACCTAATCTACCTAATCTAACTAATCTATCTAATCTATCTAGTCTATCTAATCTATCTAATCAATTTAATTTATCTAATCTATCTAACCCATCTAATCTATCTAATCAATCCAATCTATCCAAACTATCTGATCTATCTAATCTGTCTAAACTTTCTGATCTATCTAATCTACCTAATATATCTAACCTACCTAATCTACCAAATCCATCCAATCTATCTAATATATCTAATTTATCTAATCGATCTAATCGATCTAATCGATCTAAGCTATCTAACCTATCTAATCTATCAAATCTATCTAGTTTATCTAATCTATCTAATCTATCTAATTTATCTAATCTATCTAATCTATCTAATCTATCTATCTATCTAATCTATCTAATCTATCTAATGTATCTAATCTATCTAATCTACCTAATCTACCTAATCTATCTAATCTGTCTAATCTATCTAATCTATCGAATATATCTAAGCTATCTAATCTGTCTAATCTATCTAATCTATCTAATATATCTAAGCTATCTAAACTATCTTTCTTTCTTTCTTTCTATCTATCTATCTATCTATCTATCTAAAAGATCTAATCGATCTAATCTATCTAATCTATCTAATCGATCTAATCGATCTAACCGATCTAATCGATCTAATCGATCTAATCGATCTAATCGATCTAATCGATCTAATCGATCTAATCGATCTAATCGATCTAAGCTATCTAACCAATCTAATCTATCTAATCTATCTAATTTATCTAATCTATCTAATCTATCTAATTGATCTAATCTATCTAATCTATCTAATCTATCTATCTATCTAATCTATCTAACCGATCTAATCTTTCTAATCAATCTAATCTATCTAATCTATCTAATCTATCTAATCTATCTAGTCTATCTAATCTATCTAATCTATCTAGTCTATCTAATCTATCTAATCTATCTAATTCATCTAATCTATCTAATCTATCTAATCTATCCAATCTATCTAATCTACCTAATCTACCTAATCTATCTAATCTACCTAATCTACCTAATCTATCTAATCTGTCTAATCTTTCTAATCTATCTAATCTATCTAATATATCTAAGCTATCTAATCTATCTCATCTATCTCATCTATCTCATCTATCTAATCTATCTAATCTATCTAAACTATCTAAACTATCTTTCTTTCTATCTATCTATCTATCTATCAGACCTGTCTATCTATCTATCAGACCTGTCTATCTATCTATCTATCTATCTGTCTAGCTATCTATCTGT